ATCTTTTTTGGTCTTTATGCACTCAAGTGTATAACACACCATTGATTTAATACCATTTTACATCGGAGGAGAGAAAGAGAAGCTACGTTTTTAAACTATGTTTGCAAACAACCATTATAAAACCTGAGCCCAGTAAGTTAAAATGTTAAGTATGCCCTTAAGATGGAGGAAATCCTCGCTTGTCCTCTACTGGATTTCTCATCTCAAGGATGATGTGGGGCTGGGGTGCAGCTCAGCAGAGGAGCTCTCGCCTAGCATGCGTGAGACCCTAGGTTCCACCCCCAGCACCGCAGAAAGAATAAATGAATAAGTTTACGAGCAGGGCATGGAGGCCCGCACTTGTGATCCCAGACCCTCCCCGGAGGCTGAGGAAGGAGGACTGCCTGAGCCAAGGATAAAGTCAGCCGGGTAATACAGGAAGACCTCACCTCGCACAGACAAAATAAAACAACAACAAAATGGGCCCTCGCTGCCGGCGTGTCAGCAAACCTTCATTTTTAGCACTGGTGCTGGGAACTCAGATCCTGCCCTTCTTGCCCTGCTGTTCCTCGGCCACCGAGTGTAGCCGCACCCTCGCCTGCTGTGGTCTCCTGGACCTCGCTGTGCCCTGTCACACGCACCTCTGTACACACTCCCGCCCTTTGTTCTCTCAGGGACCCACTTAAGGCTCACTCAGCCCGGGGCGGGTGGCCCAGCCCCTCCAGAGGCGCTCGGGAAGATGCCCGAGCCCAGATCTCCACCCAGGTCGGTGGGATCAGACTGAAAACTGCGTCAGCTGAGCGACCCTGGCCGGGTGACACCCTCCGACGTTCCAGCTCTTCACCCGCAGCACTAAGGCAGCGCTGCGTCTCCTTTGCTCACCCGGTGCACACAAGTGCGCTCCCTTATTCCCCGCAGTTGTGGGGACTGTGTCCCCTCTGCCTTCGTCTCGTCTGCCTTTGTCTCTGCACCCCCACCTTCCTTTGTGGTCCCCCCTGTCTCACCAGTGCCCTGCAGACTCAGGCCAGCCGAGCGAAGGCGCCGGCCCCGGCTCACCGTGCACCTTGCACTCATCACGCAGACAGCGCTCCAAGGTCGGAGTGAGGGAGTCGGGATCACGGTTGCTTCCTCCTTTAAACTTCCCGTGAACTCTCGTTCTTAGATTAAAATCCACTCCGGCTCAGCTGGCCCACACGGGCATGCGGTCTGAGCTTCATCTGACAGCCCTGCCTGCCGTGTCTGTCCGGGCAGCTGCATCCCGATTCCACGTTCTCGTTCCCTCCTCGTCTCGTTCTCCGTGCCAGGAATGATCCTATAAACACGTTTCCACGCCAGCTCAGTACCAGGGTGTAGAGGATTGATAACTGGTGGTCAACTTATAACCCCCAGCTGAACTGAGTGAGTGGTG